TGTAACCCTGGGTTCGACAAGAGGATGTTTTGTTTTGTTTTGTTCCATTAACCTAAAACTACAATGTTTATTTCTCTTTGAAAAAGTTACCTGTGGCAACTTACTACCAAGATATGACGTATCTTTATACATATAGTTCCTGTCCAGGTTAATCAGAGAGCATTATGCGCATGTTCTCCGTTACTTGTTTCCGTTAACATTCCAATTTAAGTTACACGGGTAAACCTTGTTTTGATGCAAAATAACTTCTTTCTCTTAGCCAAATCGTGCTCCGAAAATAACTACATAGCCATGGATCAAAACAAGATCAACTCCATCCTTGCGACCACTGACAACTATAAATTTAGCTTGCGTAGCAGGTGTCGAAAGGGGTAGGGGATAGGGAGGAAGCAAAAAGGGGATGTGGATTGGCGAGAAATAGTAGACTTCCACGCAGGCTACTATAAATTCAGTCAGAAGCAAATTAAACCAACCCATACAGGTAACCTACTCATCGATGCTCATAATATGACACATCTTTCCGGTTTCCCTAATTTTTCCAAATTCAGATAGAACGCCATTATGCTTCCATAGACCAACGCATCCCACGGAAACGACCTTAGGGTGTCATGTTTAGTACAGTGTCAACACGTCACGAAATCCTCGGCTGCGGCTACGAAAAAGCCGAAATAAAATAAATCCCGCGAGACTGCGACTCCCATCCCAGTTTTATTGCTGTCATTTGAGCCTCAAACAGTAGTTTTCCAGCTGTTCGACTTTCACCTAAAAAAGTTTAAGAAGTTCATAATGAAAAAAGTTCTACTTCCACAATCACATGCCAACATAGGCGCCAAATCTAAAATTTTCCAACTGAGAATACTCTGTGAAGGACAATGGCGGGAGCAGAATCAAGCGATACACAGTGGTTATCTCTATTTTAAGTCGCATACGATCCATATTGAGGATATATAAGCCTGGGAGCTTATTTTAACAAGCGTATGAAATTGCCATTACTACCCGTTTAGCAGTTTTATGAGTTTAATTTAATAAACAGACAAGAGGATTTTCCAGCAGTGGTAAGTACTTTGTACAAGTGGCTAATTTGTATTTTCCACACGTTTACAGTTTAAAAATCACGTTTTCGACCATCTTTATTCTTTAAGTTCACAGTAACTAATAGATTTTAAAAATTGTTGTAGCTTGAGTTCCGGCGCGGAGGGGTGGGGCGGGGGGTTGGGGTCACGTCATCCGTGAGATATGACATTTCAATTAAGGACTGTTTTTTCTTTCGTGATTGTAGCATTGTTTATTTTATTGCATGATCATCGTATATCCGTTTTTTGGCTAGGCGTACAAAGCTTTATTCAGTTTTATTTCCTTTACGTCAGAAGGCATGCATTAGATTATTCTTTTCCTAAGCAAGTTTATCCAGTTGTAAGAAGTCCATCACAGTGTAAGGAGCTTTTGGAGAACTTTCGGAGTTATTTCAACTGTAGGAGATTTGGAGTTCCTTTAACCCCCGGAGTCAAGATCAGACTGTAAGTCACGCTTGTAAATTTAGTAGTTTGTTTTTCCTTCTTTTTTCGTGCACGGAGCATTATCGTAGTTTTGGTTTCTTCTGACGTAAAAATCGCACGTTTCTTTCTAGTTTTCACCGCAAGTGCTGTAAATAGTCGAACTAGCCTGATTTTAATAAACGCCATTAAATCTTGCTGACCGCCTGGTGCTTCACTGTGGTTTATGTCACCAGCACTTATGAAATTCGCATGGTGGGAACTGTTTGTAATGAGTTCTTGGGAGACTTATTAACTTGACACGAAGCTGATTTGTCATTTACAGGTTACGGCCATTAACAAATTAAATGAAGTAGAGTCGAAGTAGAGAGCTGTGACACAGTCCCTTTACTCACGTAATCGTGGGTTCGCGGAAAATTTGTGCGTTCTCGAGAATCTGCAGTTTAAATTTCAAGGGAAGGGAAAAAACTTAGTTGAAGTGATACACTATAGTTGTGAAAAGTCCGAACCCAGTTGAAGGGGACTAGCTCCGGGTCGACTTCACAAAAAAGACACACGTACTCTGTTGGTTCAGCAAACTTTGTGTTTCTTCTAAAGCTTCAGTGTTGTTACAAGTCACACTAGCTTGTACTATCTCTCTCTCTTTCAAAAGCCTGTTGTAGCTCCTTTTATCCTGACTGGACATGACAGGTGCCAATCCTAATCATTTGAAATTTAGTCTTACATCAGTAAAAACCCGATTGGCTGTAAGGAATATTATCATATTTTCCTTCGAGGTAATGAGAGTAATAAAAACAGTATGTTCCAGGCGAAACTTTGTTTTTCTGGAAAGGTTTTGTTTGGTCAAGTAAAAGTCAGCTGAAAGGTCAATTAAGGCCAACGGAACGTATCCTTTGTTTTACTAGCGCGTCGAATTAGTATAAACAAAAGACAGATTTTAACAAAAGATAAATCTTACTATTAAAGTCACTTTACGGCCGACACGTGCGTTTTCGAAATCTCTCAACCAAAACAAACAGATATAATAAACCTTGCACACTTTTGCGTAAATAAAATAACACTCAAAATAATTCAAAATAGTGGCTGTTTTTGCGTACTTCAACATAGTCATTCAGTTGGGTACGATGTTACCTAGTCCCTGTGCGGCGTCTTCTCAGGCCTTTTCGGTCAATGCATTTCGGTGACGTATCCGAGACGAACGGCCAGTCGCTCGGACCACGTGACCCGAAATGCATCGGCCGCGCGCGATAATGAGGCCTAGGGACAAGGCAAGGCATGATGTACTTTTCTTCTCTTGGCTCTTTTGCATAACTAGAGTTCCGGAATGTTAGTGGGGACGTTCAACAAAGTTTTATACGACCTCTTATACGGGGTGGCTCCGCTCCACCCCGATTTCCATACCCTTACCCTTTGATATATCACTTTTGACAGAAAACGTATCCCTTTTATATACTTCTGCTGACAAATGGTACCCCTTTCACGTACCTAGTTTAGAACTTTGCATCCCCTTTAACTGCACTGCCTTTTAAATATGAATAAATCACCATAAATCAGGAAGTTTTTTCGCTTTTTCCACAGCCCTAAAATGCGTCTGATTTTCAACAATACTCAATTACAACCAGTTTTCAAAGGACTGTAACTTTATTCGACCTCAGTTGTAAAGGCATGGTAACATTGATTCATTTGAAGCACATTGAAATATTAACTGCCCTTTACTGCCCAATTTATCAATAAATCACCTGAGGCGACGTTTATTTTATTTTGGAAAAACTCACAGTGTGATCGAAAAGTGAAACAACTCATCATCACATATAGACCAGCGATACCTAATAGTATAGGTGTTTTCGCCCTATTTTCATTACTTACCCTTACCCCATATTAGGCAAGGTTAACAAGGCTACCAACCGCTTAAAATTTTAATACATCGCTTCAGCTATTTCACAATAGAAAAATATAAAGCTAATTCCATGAAACGTTTACGCCGCTTTCACCGAATCTCTACGCCGCGGGTATTAAAAACTTTCACGTCTCAGTCGGAGGAGTCGGAGGAACTCGTAGCTACGACCCTGCCCTTCTTCCTCGGGTGACACAAAACCTGTAAAATAAAGTGAAAGCTGCTTAACCCTGATATATTTAATGAGTTATTAACAATTAATCCTTGAGCCCGAATGGGCTGTGAGTCTATGGCCCATTCGGCCTTCGGCCTCATGGGCTATTGAATCAGAGGCCATGTGGGCGAGAGGAATAATTGTTTTAGTAAAATCCAACTAGTTGGTCAAAGTATCGAGACAAAACAACTTTAGCTGGCAAAACGCGATTCAGCCGCCATTGTTTTGGTTTTCAAAGCCGGCGCTTTTCGCTGCTAGTGCACTATAACATATAGCCTAGTAGTGCCTCAACCAATCAGAACGCAGCATTGATAATAGACCACTACACTGTAGTTGGATTTTACTAATTATCAGTAATGGTAACAGGACTGAGTGGAGTCCAATTCGGTCTGTAATCATACGAGTGATTAACAAAATCGGACGACCGCGTAGCGGGAGTCCGATTTGTTTAATCACGAAAATGATTACAGACCGAATTGGGCGACACGAAGTTCTGTTACCAATTAATCATAACTTTAACAAAATTTTTGATATAATAGGCTATTTTTTAAATCAAAACACAAGAAATTCGAAATTTTGTTTAGCTAGCAGTGAGAAAAAAAAGAGCCATTTAAGCGCGCGCGTGATGGCGCGTACTGTCCAATTACTTAGGCATGACGCGTACTGTCCTATTAAACTGTCCAATTAAGGCTGAAATCAGGGCAGTTGATAGCCAATCAGATTTGACAATTTTGTTATAGTTATGATTATTATCATTATTGTTATTATTACTGCTATCATAATCATTATTACAATTATATTATTATTATAATTATTATTACTATGCAGTATAAGACGTAAGAATGGAAACTTTTAACCACGTAAGGCGCACAGCGTCAGGGTAGCCCATGTGGCCTAAAAGGAACCAACTTACTCTAGAAAACGAACTTTGTTATGGAATGTTACAAAGGCAAAATTTAAAAACTTAATAAAAATACAGAAAGATACTAGGGTATCTAAAAGATAGTAATGCTGCGGCACATTCTGTCGATACTGACATTAGTTAGCAGTGAGACTTAAAAGAATTGAAAATGACACTGAACGTCCTATTTACATGTTGGAAAGTACTAGAATAATTACTATCAGTCTATAGAAAGAACTCGTGGGAACGTTGTTTAGAAAATGATCAAGCGGTTATAACTCTGGTTTTCCCACAGTAAATTGTACGAAATAATAGAAATTCAGATTGTTTATCCATATATTTAATATACGGTGCACGATATTTTCTCGTGAAAACACAATACATTTCTTGCTCTTTGTTGCACTTTATTATGTAACAGTTATTTAGCTATATATTTCTAGAAAACGACAACACAAAAAACGGAAAAAAAAAGAAAGAAGGAATAAAGAATTCGGTAGGACTTAAACCCTTCGCCTTCGGCTCGACGCGACTACACCTAACCACTACACCACAGACACTGCACAGAGGCTGACTACGTAATTTTTAGGAAAAGTCTTTCATTTTATTCCTTTTCCATGAAACTTCCGCCGGCAAGATCATCGCCAGCCGCATTAACCGAGCTATTAACAGTGAAAAAACAATGTAAACGCACATTCCATGGCAATGAATGAATGAAAGAACATAATTATGCTTTTCAAAATGCCGATACACGTCCTCGTCTGCAAAGTAGGACACAAAACATATGTTTTGTTATCTCGATTTCCGCTGTCATTTTGAAGCGAATGGTCAAAATCACATCCATTTTCGGCTCATACAGTTTCTTAAGAATAGCACTGCATGACATTTTCTCACTTTCACATCACCTTCTAGCAAGCAGGAATTTGTATACCCCCCGTGTTGCAGAGTCGAAGAGCAAATGCTCATCTTCTCGTCAGGTTTGACACCTGGACGAGTCAAAGGCTCTTGAATTGAAATCCAATCCCAAAGTTAACCATCGTACTCATCTGAAAGATCTCCTGCGTGTCTTAAATTTTGGTAAGACCTCTAACCGTGCTCTAGAAAATTTGCCACAAAGAAAACTCTAAGTCTGAGCAGCGAACGATGCACTCTCTCACCCACCGAACTTCCCCGTGTTTTTATTTGAGTTGTTCGTGGCGCAATGCACTCTGGTTAAATGCAATGCATTGTGGTAAAAAGTGTGGTTAAATGCAATGCATTGCGGTAAAAAGTGATGAATTCGAGAATTCGTCGCCCCTTATATATTTCCTTTAAATCCTGATTATGTTGCTGCTCGCTCCCTTCGGTCGCTCCGCAGCAAAAAGTGAAGAGACCAAAAAAACAACTAAGAAATAAAAAAATAATACATTTTTCGAATCTACACTAATTTTAAGTGCTTTTTTAAAAAAACGTCACTTCTGCGATCCCATCGAAACATGGTCCTAACATGTCCTTACTTAGATCATTTAATCAGTTAAAGAACAGTTGAATTTAAAGTACGTGCTATGTTGAGCGAGCACGAGATTGTGGCTTTCTGCATTCTTCGCAAAACATCCTTTGCCCTTACACAAACTAGCTTTTTCATAATCACTGCGCTCAAGTTCCATTGACCACCCTCCTAGCACATCAATGACAATAATTTTAACACGAGTCGATGTTATACTGGTATCGCTTCCTCAACTCGCACCGCAGAGGATCGTACTTGGCTGTCTTCTCCTCATTCTTCTTTCCGCTATCCTCCACCCACGGACAACTCATTTCAACTGCCCAGACTTTCTTTCCTTTTGGTCCAAAAACCGTAGATCCACTCTGTTAGCCTTAACGCAGGTATGGTCAGCGTAAACCGGAACATTGCATGAATAGGCTTGCGCATCAGGTGTCTCGCACATTCGTTAAGATGTTACTGGCGAGTACCATGGGGGACAGAGTCTACCAATTTAAGGTCCACATATTTCGAAGAAAAGTATCTTCAACGCGGCATTGTGTCGGTTGAAGTTCTTAGATTAAGCTAGCTTGCTTATAGAGAGGAGAAGTCTGACGTCACGTTACCATGGTAGCAACATTTTGAGATCACAACAATGTGGAGCTTTAGCAAAAACGACGGCGACGGAACGAGAACGGCAAAAAAGCAATCGGTTTATATCAGTAAAACGACAACTTTGCAAGTGCATCACCCTTTTTTGTACATTTCTCAGCCGTCGTTGCAAGTCTGCGACTTGAAACTTCCTAATTTCACGGGCCCGCTTTATGGAGTTGGTGAACAAAGCACGAAAATTTTCTTTTCCTTTTTCTCAACTCAGATCAGGTCCTTTCGGATTCAACCCCCGACAATTTCGCCAAGATGTTTCAAATTTTAATTTAAAAATGGAATTGAATAAGATCGATGAAGTTTGAAACAGTGCGAATTCACTTTTTAAGTGCCGTTTTCGGTTTGTGGTCATCCAGAAATTTTGTTACCATGGCAACGTGACGTAACGAATTTTCCTCTCCATTACTGTAAGGGATTAGTAAAAACAAACAAAGTAATGAAAGTTTATGTTACCTTCTCTTCAACCTTTCTCTTTTTAACTTCTGGCTTTTTACTGTGTCCTTTCCCATCACTCAAGCCAAGGGCATTTCCCATAGCCTGAAATCGGCTCTGCATTTCTTCAACACGTTTTTCCAGCAACTGGGTTTTCTTTTTCTCTTTGTATAACTCTGCCAGTTGATGTTCCGCTTGTGAGAGTTTTTTCCTCTGCTCTCTTTCTGTCGCTCTCAACCCCCGAATCTCTTGATTGCACGTGTCCAAAGAACGTTTCATGGACAATTTTTCCGCTTCCAATCTTTCTACGCGTTGCTCTAGATTCCCATAATCACTTACTTTTTGTTTTAACGCTTGAAGTTGGCAACATGCATCGAACAGGTGCACAGAGCTATTTTTTTGCACATGAATGTCCATCTTACACCGACGTTCCTGCAAACAATAATAAATACTTATATTAGGTAGCCTTTGTACAGCCAATTCATAGCAACTGATCTTGGGCCAAAATTGTGCAGCTGGCTTATTTGGGTGGTGGGATCACAAACTTTCTCCTCCTTTCACCCATCTCACAAACGTCTGTAAAATTTCGCGTCTTTGCGGAGTTAAAACGTCGTTAGTTTTCAATAAATCACTCTCAAACTTTGCAAATTTTTTGGCGTTCTTTACAGTGGTAGCTCCACAGGGCTTGCCAAGACAATTTTACAAGGAACAGGGCAAGGACAGAGAACAAGAGGCCGAAAAAAGACGCGTTGGGAGAATAACATCTCTGAGTGGACAGGGTTGAAGTTTTGCGAGGCCCTAAGAGAATCCGAAAACAAATCATCAAGGGGAAGGAAAGGGCTAATAGCGGTCTGTGGCGCCCCAACGGTCACCATGACTACGGGATAGGTGTAAGATACAAGATACAGTGGTAATGCCGGATTTTTGCTAACTGGTCCACGTCAATAGTTACAAAAACCGTGGAAGGATCTATTATTTTTTACGAACAAGTATGCCAAAAATTAAGGCAAGTTACAAGCCAAACATTATTTAATATATTTCGTGTGAGACTAGCTACTGTGACGTCATCGTTTCCATCAATACGGGAAACCAGTATTTTTTTTAATGCGGCTTTGGTGACCGTTTCATCAAGTATGGGAAGACGAAATGTCGATCCGCAAAGAAAAAAGAAATACGAATACTGTGAACACTCCTTGATACTAAACTGGGACCAACACTCACTCAAAACTGCTATTTATTAATACAAACGTATGGAACGAATGAAAAATATGTCCAGTCTAAATTTTCTAACTTACCTGGACAGAGCATCCACAAATTTGGAATGGGCAGGGTATCTTTGTCAACGGGCAGTCATTTTTTAAGTGAGCGTCCATCTGCAGTTCAAGCTTGTATAAGTGATTTAGAGATAAAAGGTAGTATTCCTTAAGCGCTAACATTTCGGAGATTTCTAACCTTTCGGGGGTGAGTAACGTCCACGTGGTCCATTTATTTTTATTAAGGGGTGGAGAAAAAAAAGGGTTCAAACTGCGACAGTAGCTGCGCTGCGCCCTGTATACTGCATCCCATTAGAGACAGAAACCTGTTTTCAAGTGGTGTTGATGTCGAAGGTCGCATAGGAGTAAAAAACCGGTAACATCTAAAAACCGTCGGTTAAGGGCTTAATAGTGCTTTTCAGATGTGTGAAGATCATCCCCCCCCCCCTCCAACCCACCCCCGCATCCGCAACTAGATACATGTACCAACTTCATGTGTTTTCATAAACTACTACCTCTTGTCTAGGTATCTCTTCTTTTTCACATTTCTGTGGACAACGGAGAGGAAAGAGAGGGCAATCTTTATCCTCGTGAACCTGTTAAATGATATTTAACAATTTAATATTTTTTACCTCTTCATTTGCACTTAACATATTTTACTAGCCTACGAAAACATCCGTTTCTCCTCGCTCTTCATCGCTGGGGACGTTTCCGGGCGAAACGTCCCCAGCGGGCGAAGAGCGCGGAGAAACGGATGTGTTCACCGGCTAATATTCATGACCGGAAGGGTAGAGAATTTTTACATGACATCACGTTGGCCAAAAAACTGACAGACATTTATGACCGGTGTAGAAACCCAATACTGTTTGCGTAGACACCCTGGCCTTTTTTGCTTCAATAAACTAATGTGGCTGCTGGTCACGTGTGTTAAATCGCACTGCGCTCCGTTCCGACCGAGGATGTCGTCGAATGCGTTTTGGTGTTTTGTTATTGATATCTACGTGGAGTATCTGTTCTACAACGTTTTTGCTCATTGCGAATGAAGTAAATTTTGGACTTTCTGGGTTTAGCTGATTGATGGTAGACAAATGAGGGTTTGAAAGGCCTCACTTGAACTTCAACAGAGTGAAGAAGTGATGACGTCACGAAAACTAAATTAATAAAATTATGCGATTGGGTAAGATGGTCAGAAAGAAAAAGACTGAGAAATGCCCGTTCGCCAAAAATCAATGGTGATATAAGCGACGTTATGCTCTGATGATTCCATACAAATCCTTCTGAAATTGGCCTTGATCGTAACTCGTACGATCCAGGTCAGATTTTATAGGATTTGTACGGAATCATAAGAGCATAACGTTGCTTATATCTCTCCACCAATTTGCAATAACAGGTTGTTTTTTAGCAGGTGAACACTTTTCTTCTTGTTCTTTCTGAAAATGCCAACCAATCCCATAATTTCGCAAATTCGAAATTTTGTGACGGCACTCTTCTCTACCCTATACTAAACGGATTACTCGTATATAAGGGAAATGAGAATAACACGGTGTACAGGCTGTTTCAAAGTTCGTTCCGATTTTTTCTTCACTTAAATTTCACTGATTATTAATTAAAAGATAACTTTTGTAAACCTAAGCATGTTATTCATTTAACATTGACTATCTGAAATATTAGCAACCAGAATGTCTTCTCTTATGATTTCTGACATTTTCTAAGCGGTGAGGTATAGAATGTACGAGCTCCCATGCATAGCGTGTCTAAATTCACAATTTTCCAGCTGAAGCGTGGTCGCTGTCTTAGCTAGTTTAGTGTTTTGGGGGCTGGATCTTTGTATATTGTCTCATCAACGATAATCAGATGGTTACAAGAGGGTTCGCATCACGTGAGTTTGCCGGTCGGTCGTCCTTTGGTATAAAGTTTACAAATTCTTCTGATGCCATGCCTGCATGAAGTGTGCACCGCCTTTTTTCTCTTCAAGGCTTTCCAACCTTTGTTGGTCACATATGTCCATTCTGTTGTGCTCGAAACTTTGATATTGTGAAGTTGAAGTTTTCTTTTTACCTTGCAGTCTTGTTGAATTATTACGCACATACTTTAGTCTTACAGCTTTTTCGATAACATTTTTCACACAGTTTGTAAAAAAAAAACCGGCCATCTACTCCTTGGTTTGTCTTGTAAGGTCTTTACTTTTGACCACTTGTTCTCTCATCGTTCAGACTTCTTCAACAATTTGACAATTTCTTTGACTAAATGGACAAAGCACCGTAAAAATAGATGCCTGAGCTTTAGCACAAACAGTGTACGCCTTCATTTTCGTGAAAGAGTAGAGAAAACAAATTAAAGAAAACGGCAAAAAAAAAAAAACGAAAATAGAAAACCTACAAAATGGGCAGGAAAAATATGGCGAGAAAAAATTCGCGTACGTGCACATTCAGGGAAAAAAGTTAAAAAATTTGATAATTTCTTCAAATTTTAGTTTGAACTTGATTTGAACGGTTATTTAGATAAATTTCCTACCTGAATCAGTTTACATTTGCTTAAGGAAGCATTAAATGCTTTGCGCAAAACACAATTTACAACCGGAACTAACTTTTGAAACGCCCTGTACTATGTAGTGATATTTGGTCACAATCTATTTCCGAGTTGCTCTAAGCCACCTTATGGAAGCCTGATGCACCACTATTCGTATGTGGGAGTTCAACTTGTGTGTGAATCAGTAAAAACTTATTTTCCCATGAAAGAATAAGCACCAGGACTCGCTATGAAAACGAGGCTAAAGGTAATTCTCGGGAATGGCCCTCTCGTTTTTTAAAAAAATATATGTGACTGTCGTGTTTTTTGTATCCTTGTTTAGTCAACTACTTCCTGCAAAGGTCTCCAAATAATTATATACTCCTTACAAAGGCCTCCAAAAGACGGTCCTTGCCTAGAAAAGTTATCCGACGAATTATGTTAAGATTTCTTTTAGTACTACACCAGTCTTCAGTTGTCAAGAGTTACATTAATTGTACATTTTATCTAGCCATCTGATGTCCGTCAGCAGGTAGGGGGCAAATATATATTGGTCAGACCGACTGTTATTTTCGCGCTGGTCGACACTCAAGACAACGTTAGACAGTTGTCAAATAACATCAAGAAGGAAAATTGAGATTGTTGGAACTTCTTCATGTCATATGCACTTCATTTTCTAGCTCCCAAGTAAAACTGACCTTGAATTTCAATTTCATGAATCTGCTCAGGGTAGGTTTATTGTCACAAGACAGATTTACATCTACACTGTACCTTTAGGATGCGGAAAGGAAACTGTTTATCACAATAATGACAAAATACGATCCTTTCAACACATGCAAATGTTTTGTGAGAGTCCAGAGCCCTCCTCTCCATGATTTCTTCACAGTCCCAACAAGGAACAGAGACATACTGGCATATAGAATTGTGGTTCTGGAATATATGTAAGTAGTCAATGTGTAAAATTAAAAAGTGATGGACACCACAAAAGACCACCAATCGATATTATTGTAAGGGCAAAAAGTAAACAAGGAATACAATAAAAAAAATAACAACAATCTTTAATGAATTTCATGCAACAAGTTACAGTTGTCTTGTCCACACAATTAGCAAAAGTGCCGTTCTAGGCCTGCGGGACAATAATAGTTTACAATAATATTTACAATAAATGGTTATAAGAAATAACACACAAACACAAACACACACACACACACATAGAAAAGAAAGAAAGAAAAGAAGGGAAGTGAAGAGAAAAACGAAAGGAAAGAAACAAAGCTCACGATAATTTAACAAATAATTAAATAAACTATAAATTTATAATTAATAAGAGAACACTATAAATATAGCCTGCGTAGCAAGCGTTTCCGTGCAGTTTAGGAGCCAAGAACGAGAAACGATAGTCAAAGACCGCGCGAAAATGGCGTAAGTAAAAGAGCCTCCCCCCACTTTCATTTTTTGGCTCTTGTTTCATTTCTCGCGCGGCCAAAACCGAGAATCCCGTTCCACGGTCTTTCTTTGCTCCAAAACCGAACGGAAACGCTTGCTACGCAGGCTATACAAATAGGAAACACCATAAACTTGCGACTGACTCAGGCATGGTAAAATAAAGGTAGGAGAATCGAAGGACAATACATACATGACAAAAAAAAACCGGAGAAAACATTCAAGAAATAAGCAAGAATCGAAGAGAAATAAAGAAAGTTATGGAGCACCAAGATTCACGTTCATCTTGGTCAGCTCACGTGATCACGTCAAATACTTGAAGTTTCTGTGGTTTGTTGTCAGACAGTCCGATGTTTAACACACAATGGAGTTTGTGCTTTTGGGATCTGGATCTTTGAGCTCGAGGTATATGATTGCTATTTTAAATATATACCCCTATGATATTTCATTTACATGTAATGACCACATAATTTTAAAACGGACTCCAACAATTGTGGAGACTTACATGTAGTCGCACTGGGTTAAAAGGCAAGAGAAAATTGCAATCACACATCTTGCATTTTAGTAAAAGTGATATGCTAATTTTTATTGCCTATATTAACCCACGAAAACGCCACCAAAATAGTTTAAGGAGAAATGTAGGGATTGTATGTTATTATTATGAACTTGTCACCTCATATTCCCTGAGTTCTCCAGTCCAGTCACACCCTTTGTCATTTTGCTTGCATTTTATCTTAAGAGACAGTATGGTCCTTTTCCAGGCCTCATCTGGAAAGAACTGTGAATATAGGGCAGTTAGTGTAGGTAACAGGACTACATGCTGTTCATTTTTAAAATGTTAATTGCATGAAAAAGATTCCAAGGACAGCCACGACCGTTATAGGCAGAGTCCAAATTGGCTGTCAAAGCAACTATTGCTGGATCCAGTTATTTCCAAATTGGGCAAGCAAGTAGTTCTCTTACTAATCAACTCCTTTTGCTCGTCAGTTTCTAGATGTTTGGGTTGAAACTAGAAAGGTTTATTCTAAAAGACATTGCCAACTAGTCATTCACAACGAACAAACGTAGTCTTGTTGTTATCAGTTCTATACAGATGAAACCGCAATTTTGTTAGGAAGAAGAACATCGGCACCAAAACTTAATCTAAACATGAAACCACTAAAAATTAACGTTTCATACATCTCCATTAAAAGATTGTTCCACCACATTTGCAAAAATTTTGAAAAATCATAAAGTCGACAAATTTTTCGTGATACTTTAGATTTTTAACAGTTCTTAATTGATTGTCAACCGCAAAATTAGCGATTTTTCACAGAACTGCAAGGTTGCAGATTCTCATTCTGACACTGTAATTGGTTTATAGAAATATCTCTTCCCCTTTCACAGGGTAGATGTCAAAAGCTTTATGTATGTTTACGTATGTATTGAAAGACCGTTAAAACTGATGAAATCAGAAGCACGAGTACAAGGGTGTGGATCCGAACTGACAGTTACAGGCAGTTTGGGGGTGAATACATTTAATTGGACAGTTTGCTTATTATTTTTCACTTTAAAACAACGTAAGCGGATTGCTATGCTGACAATATTGAATCAAATTATTAGCTAAAGGTGAACCAGGGCCCAGAAGTTCGAAAGGTGGATCTAAATGCTTAATCGGCCACGAGATAAATTTAATCTCTTTCCAGTGAATAGCGTAATTGAATTCCCTAAGTTAAAACTTATCCACTGGACAGTGATTTATCCATAGAGCTATCCAACATTAATTAACAATAACTAGCTAAGAGCAGATGATTTTAGTCTATAAACAATAACTCTGAGCCAATTTTGCAATAAGGTACATGTAATAAAAAAGTAATTTGATGTGTCTTTACACCACTTCATTTATAGCATGTAGAAAAGTAGCAAGTAATACAGTAAGAACAAGTAAGTCTGGCAAAGAATCAAGGTTCTTGTATTTTGGGATAGTTTTATTAGCAATAGCATAAGTAGGTTCTTGATTAGGTTGTCAATTTCTATGAAGGAGATGGTTTTGGAGTTTGGGATAGAAAAAAAACTTGGGTTTGTTCCTGAAATATTCACGACTGTACATTAATTTGCAAACATCCTTTATCTGGAGGAATTACAGTCAGGGAATTACAGTCTGTACTTTGTACAGTACACTCAGGCCAAAAAATGCACGCCCAAGAACTTCTTTTTGCATCCGCAGGCTGGCAACAACTTCAGCATATAATAAAACAGGAACTGGACTGGATTGATAAAACATGGGTTAATAAAATATGGATTGATAAGAAAGAAATTAAGACGAAATTGGTCAACATGCAATGTCAGCAAAGAAATTCACCATTAGTGTGCTGCACATGTAGAGTTTATATTTTGCTGATTAAATAAATGGACTTATTTTCCAGAAAGTAAATAAATATATGTTTTCCTGTTATAGTGTATATTTAGTTACCTACATTTTGGGTTTTTGAAGTGAGTTTATGGCTACTTAGTTAAAATTAGAGGACTGGGCAGCCTTGGATATCGACAAGAAGTTAAGTATCTATAGTCACAAGATAGTCAGGAGATTTTAATGACAATGGAATACAAGCCGTGCATACCGGTAGGCTCACGATCACCTTCAGTAGAATTATTACATAGCCTCAATCTTATGCTTTTTGAGGAAGATAAAAATGAGGTGTGTCGTTCAATCAGCCCTCTCAGTCTGCAAGCTTCAAACTTCAGATCTTACAAGCAATCAGCCTGCCTCCTCCTCCATTTTTACCTCATTGTTTCATTATAACGTTTGTGAAAATACTTTTTCTTTTGCTGGGCCCTCACCTTTGCTAGGAGCTTGAAACGGTTACCTTTATTTTGCATTTCAAGGAATTTTAGTTAATTAAATACCAGTAAATGCGTGGCCAGAGTTTTCATCCCAACATATGCTGTTTGGTTCATTTCTACTTGTGCTCTAACAAACAAAACTTGACTGTTGCAGGTGTTATAAGCTTTGATTTGGTTTTTATAGGCATTTGTGAAAGGAGACAGAAATTGCTTTTTTTACATTCTTTTTGCCATTGCTGCTGTCATTGTTGCTTAAGAGCACTGTAACAACAAAAGATGTACTATATTGGATTTTTTACCTCTTTAGTTACTTACCCCTCCATTTCTTGGAAGAGGAGTCCTGTCCTGAGGACAACGCCACTGATCACCTTCAGCCCTTCTACATATTGAAATAAAAAAATTCTCACATTACATGTAAAAAAACAGTAACATTGAAACACCTTTAAATGTATGTACAATGAAGGTACTGCCTTTAAAATGGCCTGTAAACAGCTAGACCTTCATGTGTCATGGATGATCAGGTAAAATGGCTGCAGTCCCATCTCTGAAGGAGATGTAAAAATAGCTTCCTTAATTATTAGAATTTTGTGCCTAATGCATTGACACTCAAGTAAAGTGCATAAATTTAGTTATTCTCTACCCTAAAGGGGCTTTTCATGGTTAAAGAAACAAATAATTCAAATTAAACATAGTATTATTAGGATTAAGGAATCCCATCTGGTACAGGTTTAGTGATCCAGTTCTTGCTATTTACAAGTATATGAATTCAAGAATTTCAACTAGGGACTTCAGTGAATAAATCTTAGAATGGTCAGCTGGGGACTACTATTACCCGAGGCCTCCGGATTAAAATAGTCCAACATCTAACAGCTTGGCCACAGTATAAGTAATTGCATCTTTATCCATAAATCACACAGAACTGGTTTCAAAAACGTGAGTCTACATGATATTAGTTACTCTTCTACAACAGTTGCATTTGAAATGTAGGAGGCTTTAATAAATAGCTGCTGCAAAATAATGCAAGAATAATGAACCAGGATTGAAAAACAGGAAAACTTCTTTTTCCAATATTTCTGGGACTCGTCACCTCTTTGAGAGGCATACAAAAATGGGGACTACTTTATTAAAAATCTATGTATCACGTAGATGCAGACAAGTTTTTTTTATCACATAATCAATCTAACCAGCAACATATCAAAGCCAGTTAAAAATATAAATCCAACGTCATACAAGCTGTATTTTAAAAAGCAAGTTCTCACTGTTGTCGATGTTGTCACTGTTGTTGCAGTTAACACTGTTGTCGATGTCGTCACCAATGTCACTGTTGTCACTGTACTCGCTGTTGTCACCGTTGTCGCTGTTGTCACTGTTGTCAACATTGTCGCTGATGTCGCTGTTGTCACCGTTGTCACTGTTGTTGCTGTTGTCGCTGTTGTCACTGTTGTCACTGTTGTCGCTGTTGTCACTGTTGTCACCGTTGTCACTGTTGTCACCGTTATCGCTGTTGTCACTGTTGTCACCGTTGTCACTGTTGTCACCGTTGTCGCTGTTGTCACCGTTGTCGCTATTGTCACTGTTGTCACCGTTGTCGCTCTTGTCACTGTTGTTGCTCTTGTCACTGTTGTCAATGTTGTCGCTGCTGTCACTGTCGTCACTCTTCTTACTGTTGTCACTGCTGTCTCTGTTTTCACTGTTGTCACTGTTGTCAATGTTGTTGTTGATGTTGCTGTTGTCACCGTTGTAGCTGTTGTCGCTGTTGTCACTGTTGTCGCTGTTGTCACTGTTGTCGCTGTTGTCACTGTTGTCACCGTTGTCACGGCTGTCACCGTTGTCCCTGTTGGCACTGTTGTCGCTGTTGTCACTGTTTTCACCGTTTTCGCTGTTGTCACTGTTGTCACGCTGTTGTCACCGTTGTTGCTGTTGTCACTGTTGTCACCGTTGTCACTGTTGACACTGTTGTGGCTCTTGTCACTGTTGTCACCATTGTCGCTGTTGTCACTGTTGTCACTGTTGTCGCACTGTTGTCGCCGTTGTCACTGTTGTCACTGTTGTTGCTCTTGTCACTGTTGTCGCTGTTGTCACTGTTGTCACCATTGTCACTGTTGTCACCGTTGTTGCTGTTGTCACTGTTGTCGCTGTTGTCACTGTTGTCGCTGTTGTAACTGTTGTCACTGTTGCCACTGTTGTTGATTTTGTCACCATTGTCACTGTTGTCACCGTTAACGCTGTTGTCGCTGTTGTCACTGTTGTTGCTGTTGTCACTGTTCTCACTGTTGTTGCTCTTGTCGCTGTTGTCACCATTGTCACTGTTGTCACTGTTGTCGCTCTTGTCAACGTTGTCACCGTTGTCACCATTCTCACTGATGTGACCGTTGTTGCTGTTGTCACTGTTGTCGCTGTTGTCGCTGTTGTAACTGTTGTCACTGTTGCCACTGTTGTCACCGTTGTTGCTGTTGTCACTGTTGTCACTGTTGTTGCTCTTGTCACTGTTGTCACTATTGTTGCTGTTGTCACTGTTGTCGCTGTTGTCACTGTTGTCACCGTTGTCACTGTTGTCACTGTTGTCGCTGTTGTCACTGTTGTCACCATTGTCGCCGTTGTCACCGTTGTCACTGTTGTCACCGTTGTCACCGTTGTCACTGTTGTCACCCCTGTTGCTGTTGTCACTGTTGTCGCTGTTGTCACTGTTGTCACTGTTGCCACTGTTGTTGATGTTGTCCCTGTTGTCACTGTTGTCGCTGTTGCCACTATTGTCGCTGTTTCCACTTTTGTCACCATTGTCGCTGTTGTCACTGTTGTCGCTGTTGTCGCTGTTGTCACTATTGTTGCTCTTGTCATTGTTGTTGCTGTTGTCGCTGTTGTTGCTGTTGTCACTGTTGTCGCCGTTGTCACTGTTGTCACCATTGTCACCGTTGTCACTGTTGTCGCTGTTGTCACTGTTGTCACCGTTGTCACTGTTGTCACTGTTAAGTTGTCGCTGTTGTCGCTGTTGTCACTCTTGTCACTGTTGCCACTGTTGTTGATGTTGTCACTATTGTCACTGTTGTCACCGTTAACAATGTTGTCCTTGTTGTCACCGTTGTCGCTGTTGTCACTGTTGTCACCGTTGTCGCTGTTGTCACTGTTGTCGCTGTTGTCACTGTTGTTGCTGTTGTCATTGTTGTCGCTGTTGTCGCTGTTGTCGCTGTTGTCACTGTTGTCGCGGTTGTCACTGTTGTCACCGTTGTCACTGTTGTCACTGTTGTCGCCGTTGTCACTGTTGTCACCGTTGTCACTGTTGTCACCATTGTCGCTGTTGTTACTATTGTCGCTGTTGTCACTGTTGTCACTGTTGTCGCCGTTGTCACTGTTGTCACTGTTGTCACCGTTGTCACTGTTGTCACCATTGTCGCTGTTGTTACTGTAGACGCTGTTGTCACTGTTTTCACCGTTGCCTCTGTTGTCACTGTTGTCACGCTGTTGTCACCGTTGTTGCTGTTGTCACTGTTGTCACCGTTGTCACTGTTGACACTGTTGTCGCTCTTGTCACTGTTGTCACCATTGTCGCTGTTGTCACTGTTGTCGCACTGTTGTCACCGTTGTCGCTGTTGTCACTGTTGTCACTGTTGTCACTGTTGTCACTGTTGTCACCGTTGTTGCTGTTGTCGTTGTTGTCACTGTTGTCACTGTTGTCACCGTTGTTGCTGTTGTCGCTGTTGTCACTGTTGTCACTGTTGTCACCATTGTTGCTGTTGTCACCGTTGTCACCGTTGTCACTGTTGTCACCGTTGTCACTGTTGTCACTGTTGTCACTGTTGTTGCTGTTGTCGCTGTTGTCACTGTTGTCACTGTTGCCACTGTTGTTGATTTTGTCACCATTGTCACTGCTGTTACCGTTAATGCTGTTTTCTCTGTTGTCACTGTTGTCACTGTTTTCACTGTTGTCACTGTTGTCGCTGTTGTCACTGTTGTCACCGTTGTCGCTGTTGTCACTGTTGTCACTGTTGTCGCTGTTGTCACTGTTGTCGCTGTTGTCACTGTTTTCACCGTTGTCGCTGTTGTCACTGTTGTCACCGTTGTCGCTGTTGTCACTGTTGTCACCGTTGTTGCTGTTGTCACTGTTGTCACTGTTGTCGCTGTTGTCACCATTGTCGCTGTTGTCACCGTTTTCACCGTTGTCGCTGTTGTCACTGTTGTCACTGTTGTCGCTGTTGTCACCGTTGTCGCTGTTGTCACTGTTGTCACTGTTGTCGCTGTTGTCACCATTGTCGCTGTTGTCACTGTTTTCACCGTTGTCGCTGTTGTCACTGTTGTCACCGTTGTCGCTGTTGTCACTGTTGTCACTGTTGTCGCTGTTGTCGCTGTTGTCACTGTTGTCACTATTGTCACCGTTGTTGCTGTTGTCACCGTTGTCACCGTTGTCACTGTTGTCACCGTTGTCACTGTTTTCACCGTTGTCACTGTTGTCACTGTTGTCACTGTTGTCACCGTTGTCACTGTTGTCACTGTTGTCACTGTTGTCACCGTTGTTGCTGTTGTCGCTGTTGTCACTGTTGTCACTGTTTTCACTGTTGTTGCTGTTGTCACCGTTGTCACCGTTGTCACTGTTGTCACCGTTGTCACTGTTGTCACTGTTGTCACTGTTGTTGCTGTTGTCGCTGTTGTCACTGTTGTCACTGTTGCCACTGTTGTTGCTTTTGTCACCATTGTCACTGCTGTTACCGTTATCGCTGTTTTCTCTGTTGTCACTGTTGTCACTGTTTTCACTGTTGTCACTGTTGTCGCTGTTGTCACTGTTGTCACCGTTGTCGCTGTTGTCACTGTTGTCACTGTTGTCGCTGTTGTCACTATTGTCGCTGTTGTCACTGTTTTCACCGTTGTCGCTGTTGTCACTGTTGTCACCGTTGTCGCTGTTGTCACTGTTGTCACCGTTGTCGCTGTTGTCACTGTTGTCACTGTTGTCGCTGTTGTCACCGTTGTCGCTGTTGTCACCGTTTTCACCGTTGTCGCTGTTGTCACTGTTGTCACCGTTGTTGCTGTTGTCACCGTTGTCGCTGTTGTCACTGTTGTCACTGTTGTCGCTGTTGTCACCATTGTCGCTGTTGTCACTGTTTTCACCGTTGTCGCTGTTGTCACTGTTGTCACCGTTGTCGCTGTTGTCACTGTTGTCACTGTTGTCGCTGTTGTCGCTGTTGTCACTGTTGTCACTATTGTCACCGTTGTCGCTGTTGTCACTGTTGTCACCGTTGTCACTGTTGTCACCGTTGTCACTGTTTTCACCGTTGTCACTGTTGTCACTGTTGTCACTGTTGTCACCGTTGTCACTGTTGTCACTGTTGTCACTGTTGTCACCGTTGTCGCTGTTGTCGCTGTTGTCACTGTTGTCACTGTTTTCACCGTTGTTGCTGTTGTCACCGTTGTCACTGTTGTCACCGTTGTCACTGTTGTCACTGTTGTCACTGTTGTTGCTGTTGTCGCTGTTGTCACTGTTGTCACTGTTGCCACTGTTGTTGATTTTGTCACCATTGTCACTGCTGTTACCGTTAATGCTGTTTTCTCTGTTGTCACTGTTGTCACTGTTTTCACTGTTGTCACTGTTGTCGCTGTTGTCACTGTTGTCACCGTTGTCGCTGTTGTCACTGTTGTCACTGTTGTCGCTGTTGTCAACATTGTCGCTGTTGTCACTGTTTTCACCGTTGTCGCTGTTGTCACTGTTGTCACCGTTGTCGCTGTTGTCACTGTTGTCACTGTTGTCACCGTTGTTGCTGTTGTCACCGTTGTCGCTGTTGTCACTGTTGTCACTGTTGTCGCTGTTGTCACCGTTGTCGCTGTTGTCACTGTTTTCACCGTTGTCGCTGTTGTCACTGTTGTCACCGTTGTCGCTGTTGTCACTGTTGTCACTGTTGTCACTGTTGTCGCTGTTGTCACTGTTGTCACTGTTGTCGCTGTTGTCACTATTGTCGCTGTTGTCACTGTTGTCACTGTTGTCGCTGTTGTCACTGTTGTCACTGTTGTCGCTGTTGTCGCTGTTGTCACTGTTGTCACTGTTGTTGCTGTTGTCACTGTTGTCGCTGTTGTCACTGTTGTCACCGTTGTCGCTGTTGTCACCGTTGTCACTGTTGTCACCGTTGTTGCTGTTGTCACTGTTGTTGCTGTTGTCACTGTTGTCGCTGTTGTCACTGTTGTCACTGTTGTTGATTTTGTCACCATTGTCACTGTTGTTACCGTTAATGCTGTTTTCTCTGTTGCCACTGTTGTTGCTGTTGTCACTGTTGTCACTGTTGTCCCTGTTGTCACTGTTGTCGCTGTTGTCACTATTGTCACCGTTGTCACTGTTGTCACTGTTGTCACTGTTGTCACTGTTGTCGCTGTTGTCACCATTGTCGCTGTTGTCACTGTTGTCACTGTTGTCACTGTTGTTGCTCTTGTCACTGTTGTCACTGTTGTTGCTGTTGTCACTTTTGTCGCTGTTGATGTTGTCACCATTGTCACTGTTGTCACCGTTAATGCTGTTGTCACTGTTGTCAATGTTGTCACCGTTGTCGATGTGACCACCGTTGACACTGTTGGCACTGTTGTCGATGTGATCACTGTTGTCACTGTTGTCAACGTTGTCGCTCTTGTCACTGTTGTCACTTTTGTCGCTCTTGTCACCGTTGTGGCTGTTATCACTGTTGTTGCTGTTGTCACTGTTGTCGCTGTTGTCACTGTTGTCACCGTTGTCGCTGTTGTCACTGTTTTCACTGTTGTCACCATTGTCGCTGTTGTCACTGTTGTCACTGTTGTCACTGTTGTTGCTCTTGTCACTGTTGTCACTGTTGTTGCTGTTGTCACTTTTGTCGCTGTTGATGTTGTCACTGTTGTTGCTGTTGTCACTGTTGTCGCTGTTGTCACTGTTGTCACCGTTGTCGCTGTTGTCACTGTTTTCACTGTTGTCACCATTGTCGCTGTTGTCACTGTTGTCACTGTTGTCACTGTTGTTGCTCTTGTCACTGTTGTCACTGTTGTTGCTGTTGTCACTTTTGTCGCTGTTGATGTTGTTATCACTGTTGTTGCTGTTGTCACTGTTGTCGCTGTTGTCACTGTTGTCACCGTTGTCGCTGTTGTCACTGTTTTCACTGTTGTCGCTGTTATCACTGTTGTTGATGTTGCCACTGTTGTTACTGTTGTCACGGTTGTCGCTATTGTTACCCTTGTCACCCCATTTAGCAAAAGAAAGCAAAACAATACATCATATGGTAATCAACAATGAGACCTAACCCATGCATAACATGACTATAAACACAAAAATACATGTAAATATGGTAAATTGGATACACGTCATCAGTATGGAATAAACCTTATTCATGATACCCATCATCAGTTTTTCACACGGAATAAAAGCAAGATGTTACATGGTATTTCAGGGGGCAAACAAGTGATATGATTTGCCAATATGAGTTAAATCATGGTCGGGTTTGTTTATTCTATCAAGACGAGAAGACAGTTTGATAGTCATTCATTATCCAAGGCGGGGGGGCTACTTCCTAGTTACATTCGATGTCAGGAGAATGCGACCTAATCTGAATGCAAGAAGCCTGGGCACAAGCATTTAGCAGAAAGTATCTCGAGTTTTAGGTAGGTTCAACTACTGGAATACGTCATAGACTCCACGGGCAAGGTGCACTTATCTAAAAGCATCACAATGCACGGGAATATTTTTTCTTCTTTATGCTCATTTTCTATCGATCAATTTATCAATAAACTTTATTTATCCATGGTAGTAATAAGCTTATGGGGCAGTGCCAAAAAAAGGAAGAAATACAAAACTACTAAAAAATTAGTTACTGTACAATTATTGTACAGTAACTAATTTTTTCATATACTAAAATATTACAAGTAATTAAAAAATAGTATTTACATCACAAATTATAATTATACTCTTCGTCTGCGCTGATCATTTTCTTTATCAGTCAGCTGCTTGTCAGATCTGTTCTACTCGGCAAGTTTAAACTCATCCTTTTTGGAAGTAAATGCATACATTTTTTTGAAAATTTAGTAGCTCTATAATACATGTACAACGAACTTGTTTACTACCTCCGACGTGTAAAGAAAGTGCATTATTCTATCCACAAAGAAGCGAATATGACATGCGTTATTGTCCTGTGAGATGCTATCTATCACAGAGAGTTTACTAGAAAAAAAACCAGATCGATTAAGGGATCAATAAAAATTCATTTCTTCTGTTTTATTCCCTGTTAGCCTCTGAGCCAAGTATCTACAAAGAGACACCCTGCACCAACCTCAATTCCCAGGACCACTGTTCAAATGTACCTATTAATCCCTGTTACTTCAAGTAATAGGCTAATGGGGATGTGCCACTGAATGGGGTTGCATTTTTATTACTCCTGAAGAGTTACTTGAATGTATGGGATCGCACATTTTCGGGATTTTGGGGATTAGAAAATTCAGGTAAGTAGGGATTAAAAAATAAATGGGAACATTTTTACTTCATTAAGTTTAACGAATGTGTCAATTCATTTCTGGATGACCTAGTTAAAAGGCCTTATAATGTAGATGAATAAACAGAAAGTTCCCAAGTTGGGATCGCGAAAATTACATTTTCCCAAAAGTGACTAAGATGGGGTCTATAATATGACCACAGAATAGACAAAAATGGTGTAGGTGTTCTGAGAGGCCAGCGACACATACCCAGCAAAAATTAACCCAAATACCTCCATCCGCCCCCCACACACACACCCACCCACACACTCCTCCTCGGTTCAAAATGGATAGTCCGACTCTCGACAAGATTTATGCCATAAAGTGATTATTGTTTGCTACACAAATGAGGACATCTATGGTCGCCAAAGCATCCACAAAAGTAACAACAATTAGTTCCAGCCATAAATTCTCATTACCGTCTTTAAGATGAACAGCTCTTCATTTACTAGTGTCTAGAATGAACACGCAAAATTTTTTTCGCTTGATCGCCCCCTGAGAAAGCTGCATGGAACATTGCTTTTATCCCATCAGTGATGGCGGGTATCGTGAATAGGAGTTATCCCGAGAGCAATAATGAATATATCGTTCTCGGTCAAAGAGCTGAGGCAGAACTAAATAATATTTCATACCTATTAAAATCACAGAGAAGCGACGTAAAAACGGTAGTAATACCTGAAGGTTTTTAACAAGCATTCACGGCAATAGCGATGGCCGCATCTCTTGGTCTGAACAGGGTTCTTCATAGCTACAAGGCATACAGGACATTTGTACTCATCTTTTAACTCTTCTACGAACTCGAAATCATACCCGCAAGTCTCCTCGTCATCTGATAATGATGATGCTGGTGATGATGATCTTGTTGAGGATGTAAATGTTGATGGTGATGATGGTAGTGGCAATGATGAGGATGATAAGCTTGACATCACGATCAGAAGGTAAAAAGACACACACAGGTCAGCCCTGGTCCGTCACCCCTGACTCCTTGTCGAGAATCGATTGGTATAACGAAAAGGCCGCTGTTCAGGAAATGAGCCCGCGCTTATCCTCTCGAGACCGTGGTTTTCAGTGTCACGCCATTCAAAATAGATCAAAATAAAAATCAAAACCGTTCAATAGATAAAGTCCAGAATCGGGGAAATGAAAGGAGGTATACATACAAAGACCCTCGCCAAGATTCAGGTCAGAGGAATATTTCGTATACGAGATATCCGAAGAAATGTTTTACCCAAACTCAGTAGAGATTTGTATGGAGACGCACAGGTAGCCCAAGCTCGAAATATGAATCATCGGTATTGTTGCGTAACATTCAAAATATGAGGATTTGTATGTGAAAAAAAAACCTATCGTTTCTATAACCTACTAGCCTGTGAACAGGGTCTCTGTGTGGGGAAAAAATAGCAAGGAAAGCGAAGGGAAAGGGCCTATAAGCTTTTCCCTCTCCCTAGTTACACGCTCGACCAAAGTCCTGTTCACAGGCTTGCTTATAGGCGGAAGTTTACGGTATACGTCATAGAGGTCGATCGGGTTTCTTGGAAAGAGTATCGAAGATCTACATTTTTGGGTCAATGAAGGGTCACATTTTTTGTGTGTGTAACAGATGTACTTCCGGTCCGCTACACACGGCCTTTGTCGAATGTGTTCAGATGTATATGTGAATTGTTTGTATTAAGTTTTTCGTCGAGCAAATTGCTTAACTTATTCGCCAACGTTTCTTATCAATCTTAGAAAGGTTGCGAGTTTTCCTGATCGAGATTTAGCTTCGAATTCCATCGTAATTGAAACATTCGTCGAAGACTCAGTATACAATGAACTTTGCCTCCCAGGCTCACAAAGCACAAGTATCCCAAAAGCTGGCGACTTCTTTGTAATACTGTTGTAAAGTTTAATAATACCATGAATACTTTATTTTTAACGTCAGTTTGTTCCTAAGAGCGCGATAAAGTTGACAGGTCTTCAAAGGCATTAGTATGTTGTTGTATAGACTTTTTAAAGTGTCCCTTATCTGTAATAATAATACTAATAAGCACAATCATGGGTTTAGCATCGGCTAAAATTTTCTATACATTGTATATGGCGCCAGGTGCGTTCAAAACGAAATCGGAATTTGCATTGTAAAGCAACTTGGTTTTGCAGTCTGATGCACCCACCGTCAGGTCGCTGTCGTAACGACTTTATCGGCTGAATTGAGATAAAGTCTTAGAGATCACAAGCTGAGAACACAGCCATTATGGTCTTACCATTTTTTTAGCCTGGTTGGTTGTCCGGCCCGGATCTCACGAGGATCTGAAACTGGAACATTCCGCCAGGCAGACCGACGCTTTACCAAATGCGCTAACCTGGCGGCCGTGGAAAGTAGGCACAACGTTTTAAAAGTAACCACGACCTGATAAATATATACAAAGAACTAAATGAAATTGATGAAGCCAAATAGAAAAGAGTCTAAGAAGCTTGCCGATAAATTGTCAGCAAGCCTATTGGCAGACCTTTCTTTTCCACGAAGGTTTACTCAACAGTGCTGACTAGTCGACCAGCTAATCACAGTAAACTCCTTACAAAGTTTTAGACGGAAACTGGGAAACAAGAGCCTCTTTAAGACGCACTCGTTATGAACGCTGACTCTGAAATAAAAACCAACTCTTTTATGAATAGTAATTATACAGACAACAGCGGCTGCTGGGGCAAAAGGGCTCCTATAATTCAGCAATATATCCTGGCGATTTTGTCTGGTATATTTAACTTTAAGTTTCGGAGGTTATTATCATATTCACTCTCTTCTATCCCCGTCGCGTTAAAAATTTGATCTGAGTCTTACAACGACGTTTTAAAGCCTTTCAACTCTGTCATTCCATATGTATTTTTAAAAATGTGGAATATACAATGAGCTTTTCGCACTTAGCTAATCTCCATAGGTCTTTTAGACCTGTGACGCAACATCAGCTGCATATGACATAACTAACAGATGCATACGATGTAATTAATGAAATGGTGCATATGACGTAAAATGCTTGGCTATGACGCAAACATTTGTCTTAACCTGCGACTAGGGGTAAGCCATTGCTTAACCCTTGCAATTGCTTTATTACCTAAAATAATTGAAAAAAATTCGTTCGACACATTTCGAAAACTCAGGACCTTGATGACGTTGTTGACGTTAGAGACATAACAGCACAGCAGACGTCGTATTTGTTGCTTTGTTTCTCAGTTGGAATGACAGAAACGGTGCTTTCTTATGAAAGCTTTAAGATTGCGGCATGCAGCGGAAACTAGCGGCTTAAGTTAAACAAAGTCAGCTAATAATTGATGAACGAATTTCATTAGAACCACTTCTGAAAATCGAATTCAGTATAATGCAGCGCCCCTGAATTAAAGCTCTCTGACGTGCGAGGAACTGTAAACATTCAAGCCGGATATACCTTACTCATCATTTTTGCGGTTTATGTCCATTTGTTTTTTTTAATGCCTTTCACCTTTTTTGCTTCCGCAGAGTCAGTTATGCAGACAAATAATTATGCTCTAAATTTTAAGTCCTGTAATAAAAGTCCTATCGTTTCTCGTATGACTGTACAAATAAGTGTCTTTTGTGAGGCCTTTACAAATTTTCAGTTTTTAGTAAAAAAAAAAAAACGATTTTTGACATTAGTTAAAAAGTCAGTGTAGGCCACTAATTGAATGAAAGTGTGTGTTATTTTTGTGTCCCGTGATGTCCCTTAAAGCCATCTTTTTATTAGAAATTCGGCGGCCGCTTATTAAAGTTCGGAATTCTTTGATTGCATGTTCTCGCGGCTCTTTGTTGCGGCTTCCAGCGCTCGCTCATGAGCACTGAGTGTGCTGCCAAACTTTTGCTTTCGTGCTAACATTACCGCAAACTGGTCGATTCTGGACTGTGAGCAGTCTCTTATTTTTCTTTTGAGTCACAGTAGGTTGAGAGCATCATGCTTTTACTTTTTCGCTCGCTGTGCATGGCTCTAAGGAAAGAAGGACGACTGCTCGTGCGGTCTACGTTGAATCAGAATGGTGTGTTTAACACGATTAAGTCACCAGCTAGGGGCGAAAGAAAACGAAGATTAGTCAGTTTCTTTCCACCGCATCTGCCACAACAAGCTTCCCGTCTTCGACAAAAGTGGGAAACGGATACAAAAACGGCATAAAAACAAAAAAGAAGGCAAAACAAAAAGCAGTCACAGTTTCAAAAGATTGAAATATCTGGAAATTTCTATAATGAATTAAAACGTTTTATTTACAACAGTTTCTCTTTACAACAGCTAGTCGCAAGCCGCCTCTAAGTAAGTCAAGGTATGACGGCATTCAACTGAAGCTTTGCACATAAAAGACTGCCGCGCCTGCCATTCTATGTGGCACTTAAACGTAATGCATTTTGATTTCTTAGCCCGTTGAGGTAAGGCCATGAAACGACTGATGATAAATATGTCTTTAAAGTTTCTAAAGCACATAGTTATATGCATTTCCTTCAATGCACCGTCCTATTTATGTCCCCAATCAACTCTCACAAAGATGCAGCAAGAGGTAAAGTTTTTACCGAAACGTTTTTCTCTTAAATGTTCTATTAGGGGCCAACATCCTATATGCTTTCCTTGAAAGAGCCGCAGTAGATAAGAGAAAGGAGAAATAGCGACTTTGTCCTGTGTCCATCGCCTCGCCCTTGTTGGCTTAAGCCCTTTTATCCAAGCCGGATATTTGCAAACCAGTTTCAGAATGACGCATAGGCCAAGAATCTTCACGACGTTGTGCATCAACCGAAAAACTGCTTCCAGAACGCTGCAATTTTCATCTCTTTAACACTTCTTTTATCTCGTTTTCCCGTATTTTTCGAGCACTTTTCACTTGGCTGTTTAGATTTCTTGTTACTGCTATATAGTGCATCTTCCCACGGCGTACCTTGTAAAGTGGACCTTCCGCCAAAACAAAGAGAATTACTGATTGGTTGAAGCTGGATAAGAGCTTTTTGAGCTCTCTTTTTCGGACGGCTTTCTCTGCTACACTTTTTTCTGTTTCTTTCGTTAGATGGCTCTGGAACTGAATCAGGTGAAACAGCTTGAGAACAGAAGCCGGGGAGTTCAGGTCGCATTTGATCTCCACAGTAACCTGTTGTTTCGCTCAGATTCTGTTGACCTTGTAATGGATTTACTGGCATATTCTGTTCCACTGGAATCCTCCGCATCGATTGTTGCATGGTGTAAAAATTCACTTACCAAAACCTGAGTTTTGTTCAAAACTGGCTTAGAAGTGAAGAGATCTGAAAATTATGAAGCCACAACTCTTTATAGTTCTATTGGCTGATCTACATCTCCGTTGTATGAGTCCTGTTCGTGAACGTGCTTAGGTTTTAAATGCTTTCTGAAATGAAAGGGACAGAAAGTCATTAATTAGCTTACACAATTAATTTAACACCTCATCCATACGACTAGCCATGAATTAGCATACATTACAGAAGCAAATTGGCTACCTTTGGCGTGCTATGTTTCGGACAATTGCGCAAGAAGAAAGAATATTATATAATAAAGACCAAAGGTCTTGATAACTTTACCATAAAGTAACCAAAAACACTACAAGGGAAAAAATGCTTTTAGGAATATGTTTTTTTCACAAGTTTTTTTTAACGTATTTTTGTCGGTCAGGTTTACTCAGCACTTTCACTTTGTCTGAATTTCAAACACGATTCAATCACGCACGGAGATTTCAGACACGGTCTTTTGGTAACTTTTAAACATCCGTGTACCTTGTTGCATTCTCAACTGTCAGAGAATATAAAACTAAAGTAAAGCTCAAA